AGACTGACGTCCGGGATATCATCGGAATAGTGTCGGGTAAGACTTGCTCTTGGATCGTTACTCACACTTGCGTGTGGTTCCAACGATGATGTGTACAGCTGCCCATAGAACCTCTCAATCTCACTCAAAATCTCAGGTGTCTCGGAAACGATGCTGCCACACTCAGTCTTCAGCTTTGACAGTTGGCTCTTTCTGGCAGACAGATCTCTGGCAAAGACGGTCTTGCAGAACTTAGCTCCGACCGCATGGACAGTTTCCACGAGCTTGTCATTCATATCATCCACTGCATTGCAATCTTCTAGGTACTGAAAGCGGTTACGTAACTCGAGCTGAAAGGTTTCAGAATTCTGGATCAGAGCACGAGGGGGACGGAACGTTGACTTCATTATACGAGACATTTCCAACTTAACGTTTAGGTTCAGTGTGCCTCTAACCATTCGGTGACCCTTGCGATCACTGAGACATCACTGAACAGGTGGCGTCTGGTCGTCATAATGAAGTCAATCTCATTTTTTGTCGAACCGTCGGGACTCGGCCAGGTCCACTTCCTGTGGGGCCGCTTCTGGAAGAAAGAGTTCATCATAAATATTTTCTGGAAGAAAGAGTTCTCCATAAAGTCAGCCAGCTGCTGGCCCCTACGGTTCCGTTGCCCTACTCCAAATTTCCCTAACTTCAGCTCACCGCCTTCTCTTGTGCCTAGTTTTGCGTTGAAGTCTCCCATCAACACCGTGTAATGGGTTTTGGAGGAATGCATGGCTTTGGAAATGTCCTCATATATTTCCTCCACCTCCTCATCGGGATGTGCCGAGGTTGGTGCGTAGACCTGTATGACCTTCAGCGAATACCGTTTGGTGATTCGGAGTATCAGGTACGCCACCCTCGTCGACACACTCACAATCTTTACAACGTTATTGACGAGAGACTTGTGGACGATAAATCCGACACCTCCTTGGGACAGAAGGTCGCCCTCCCGGTGATAGAACAAGTTGCCGGACTCGAGGATTACCGTGTCCTCCCCCTCTCTTCGGACCTCAGATAATCCAATAAAATGCCAGCGCAACTTGTCTACCTCTTCTTCCAGCTCCAGTATCTTCTCGTCAGTCCTCAGGGTGCGTGCGTTATACGTTGCCAGGTCGAGTCGTCGTAGGTGGCAACCGAACCTCCACCGGAGATTCTTAGCACCCCCTGCCCTGCCGTTACCATGGTCGCCAAACCGTAGCCAGGAATAGCGGGGCCGCCGGGGACTGGGGGCCGTTTATTTGCGTCGTTGCTCATGGGGGGATATTTGCCATAGTTGCCACGCTTGGCGAGCGGGTTGGCAACCGCAGTTTTTTATTGTTATTGTTGTTATTAGGAAGATGCTGCTGCCCATCTCCCTTCTGTGTCCCTCTGTCGCCTCTTAGGACACCCACGGGAAGATATGGGGTAGTGGATATTCTCAACCGCCACTACACGGGTACCGGTAGACTGGTGTAAAGCCGTGATAGTCCCAGTATATAAAGGAAAAGGGTCGCAGCAGGACTGTAAAAACTACCGTGGCATCAGCCTTCTTAGCATTGTTGGAAAACTGTGTGCTGATTGAAAGTGTCATGAAAGAAACTGATGGAAAAATTCAGGATGTGCAAGCGGGACTTAGAAAGGGAATGGGATGCACAGATCAAGTCTTTTCCATGCGCATGATCACGGAGAAGTTTATGGCCAAAAACCAAAAGGTTTTTTGTGTGTTCATGGACTTGGAAAAGGCCTATGACAGAGTGGATAGGGATGTGCTATGGCAAACACTAAACTCATTTGGGTTGAGGCAGGCATTGGAGTCTCTTTACAGGGACTCTAGTGCTTGTGTTAAGGATCAACGGGGTCTACTCGGACTGGTTTGACATCCATAAAGGTGTCAGACAGGGCTGTGTGGCTTCCCCGTGGCTGTTCAACCTATTAATGGACAGTTTTTTGCAAAATTTGAAAGTTGAAGAATGCGGATTAAGAATGGGTGAGTTAACCGTCAAATGCCTTTTGTACACCGATGATCATGTTATTCTTGCGTCGTCGGCGGCCGAGTTGTAAATGATGGTTACATTAATGAACAGTATGAAGAAAGGGGTATGAAAGTGAACGCAAGTAAGACGAAGGTTATGGTTTTTGAAAGAGAAGAAAGTAAAACGATTTGTGAAATAAGAATAGAAGGGGAGTTGATCGAGCAAGTAGATGAGTCTGTATATTTGGGTTGCGTATTTAGCAGGGATGGGAGATATGATAAGGATATAGAACGACGAGTGAATGCGGGAAATAGAATAAATGGGACTCTGCACTCTATTGTGAAGAGTCAAAATGTGTCGAAAAAGGCACGTATGGCAATTCACAATACTGTGTTGGTCCCTACTTTAACGTATGGTAGTGAAAGTTGGGTGTGGCAGAAGAAGCACGAGAGTAAAATGAACGCAGTAGAAATGCGGTCGTTAAGAAGTATGTTAGGGCTGAATCTGAATGACAGGGTGAGAAATTGTGTGATAAGAGAAGAGTGTGGTTTGCAAGATGATGTTGTGACCAGGATTAAGAAAGGAATGCTTCGGTGGTTTGGTCATGTGGAAAGAATGAATGAGGAAAGAGTGACAAAGAAAATTTATGTTGCAGAAGTGAATGGAAGATTCGAATTAGGAGTACCCTTAACCGACGAGCATGTATGCGTAGGTATATGGATGTGAAGGAGGCGAGAAAGGTGTCAGGATCGTGCCAAATAGAAGTCTGTAGTCTCTGCCTACCCCTCTGGGTGACAGGCGTGAGTGTTTATTCATTTAAAGACGCAGCCATAAAGTAAACATAGGTGGCGTTGAGCTACAAATGTTAATTGATTCAGGTCGTAAAACAAATTTAATAACTGATAATTCATGGGAATATTTGAAAATAAATAAACTTAGTTGTAAAAATCAAACTACGGAACCAAATACGATATTATTGGCATGTGGCAATAGTATACCATTACAGGTAAAAGATTCATTTGAAACTGAAATTAAAACAAATGGGAAAAACTAATTCCTGCATAATTTATGTCATAAAAAACAGATCCAGGAATTTACTAGAAAAGGATTCAGCAATGCGATTGGGAGTTTTAAAAGTGGGCTTTGGTATCGACCATGTTGATCAAGAACTAACCAAACCGTTTCCAAAATTTAAAGTTATTTAAGTGCAGATTCCGATAAATTAATAACTCCATATAAATAATGTTAAAAATGCTTTCCATCAAGTTGAGCTTCATCCCAACTCTAGATATTTAACCGCCTTTGTAACTTCTAGTGAACTTTACGGATATAAAAGACTTATGTTTGGAATCACATGTGTAACAGAGCTGTTCTAAAAATCTTAGAAAGAATGTTAATTAAACGTGAAGGCGTAATTAACTTTATAGTAGATATTTTAATTTGGGCAGCAGTGAAGAAAAACATGATTTGTGACTTCACAAGTATTAGATGTGTTAAATTAAAATAATGTCCTGCTTAGTTAAGATAAATGTTTGTATAAAGTGCAAAAAGTTAAGTTTCTTACTAACACGAATCAACCCCAGACACCTCTACCTAAATATATCAAAAGTATAACAGAATCTAAAGTACCAAAAACAATTGAGGAGTTACAAAGTTTTCTTGGATTAGTAAATTACATAAATAAATGGATTCCTAAACTAGCTACAATTAATGAACCATTAAAAGAATTACTTAGGGTGGAATTAGAAAAAAAGGCTAACATAGACAAATACTGGACAGAAAAACAGGCCCATGCATTAAGGTGTCTCAAATAAAAATTAACAAAAATAGAAACCTTATGATATTATAACGTCAAAGACAAGTTATAGTGGATGCGAGCCCTATAGGATTAGGAGCTGTTTTGCTACAAACTAATAAAAGGGGTCCCAGAATCATTGGCTATGGAAATCGGACGCGTACAAATTGTGAACGAAAATACAGCCAAACAGAGAAGGAACCTCTTGCTCTTGTTTGGACTATCGATTATTTTAACACATTTCTTTTCTGAAAAGAATTTGATTTAATCACTAATCATAAACCATTGGAATTCCTATTTAATCCTAAATCAAAGCCGTGTGCCCGCGTCGAAAAGTGGATAAGATAAAATATAAGCCAGGAAATACAAATATTGTATATCCGCTATCACAGTTGTGCAAAGGAACATAATTATGTACGACCTACACAGGACCACTATGTATGCCAAATAGTACAATTAGCAAAAACATATGCTATTTCTATGCGAGATATAATTGCACAATCTGAAAGTGACTTAGAAATAACGAATGTAAAAAATGGACTCCATAACAATCAGTGGCATGAAAAACTTTAATATTTTTGGAAATGAACTTTGTTTTTATGAGAATATTCTCTTGAGAGAAAATAGAATTCTAATTCCAAAAAAATTAAGAAAACAAGTATCAGTGGCAGCCCATTAAGGTCACCATGGAATTCTGTCTATGAAAGAATACTTAAGAGCTAAAGTCTTGTGGCCAAAGATTGATAAAGATGTCGAGATGTTAGTCAAGAGCTGCAAAGGGTGCACTCTTGTGGAACTGCCAAATCCACCTGTACCTAAGAAACGGCGGTAACTTCCATCAGAACCATGGGTCAACATCGCAATGTATTTGTTAGGATACACTGAGTTCTATTTGGACGGGTTAGAGAGATGGGAGAATCGCTAGAAGTGTGTAGAGTTATAAGGTAGACAAATGTGTCTTGTGTATTTGTTAGGTCAGAAAACTTTTCAGAACACCCACGTAAGAAGATTAATTAGTAAAATATGAATAAGCTGTAATTGTCTCATAATTACTTTAAATTATCAAAATAAAAAATAATTTATTTGACTATCCTTTGGCAACTTTAATCCCTTTAATATTGTTATATTGCTTAAGAACTGTAAATTTTTTTTATCTACAATTGTTTTTCACGGTATATGATGCTGACCCGAAATAGTAAACCTGGCAATAGTAAACGAACAGAGGTTTGAGAATGGCGCATTATCTGATGAACCCCTCAACACCACAAGAAGAGAGATATAATAGAAGCCACATCCGTACCAGGAACACTCTGGAAAGAACCTTTTGTTGCCTATTAAAAGGCATGTTTGGTGATAAAGAAACAGCAAAGAAAACAATTGTTGCATGTGCTGTACTCCACAATAATAGAATCGACATGAGGTAAGATGTATTTTCTGGTGAGGAAGGTATCATTAAGAAATTTTTATCTTTTATGGAACATACCTCTGTATTATAGACAGAGATGTATTCCATAAAGTAATAATTTCATATAATCAGGATATTTACAAGCATGTTTCTGATATAGTCTTGAATTCAATTTTTTATTAGAAGTGGGCTCACTTTTGACCTCCATCTGGCTCCACGGCAAATATGAGGTCTTCAAGGGGCGAGTTTGCCCAGGAGAAACCTATCCACACGCACCTTGAAGAGGTTCATTCAGGTCATTCGCACTCGGAAAACAGACGCCGGCAGGGCATTCAACTCCTTGGCTGTGCGCATTATAAAAGATGACATAGCTCTTAGTGCACACTTTCATAATATCAACCAAGTGTGGATGATAACCTGCAATACGTCTGAAAGCCCGATATTAGAATGTAGATGGCGGTATGAGCTTATAAAGCTCATAGGCACACTCTCCGAAACACAATCTATAGAAGACCGACAAACAAGAAACTTGGCGGCGGTGAGCTAGGCTTTGAAGCTTAGTTTCTACTAGCTTTTTGACGCCGATAAGTCTCTTGGCTCTACGTTCCACTGAGTCGAGAGTGGCAAGTTGATATTTTGCTGAATCATCCCAAAGGTGACTACAACACTCCATACATAATTTTGCCGTCGCATTTTGTGTGTCCGGGCTAAAGTTAAGGTTAGCACTCGACTGTTTACCGAGAAGCTCTAGATGATCAGTAACCTCTATAGATGTACTTCGGAATGTAGGAACCAGATCAAACGGACTTCGTTTTTCGGAGAACAAACAGACCTGCGTTTTAGCGGTGAAAATGACCAGATTGTCGTCACCCCATTGGGAGACAATACTTAAGGTCGCATTTACTCGCTCCACTATAGCCTCTGAATGAACGTATTACTGCCCTCCGTCTTATACACTGGACTTGAATCTCGCTGTGACTGTACTGTCATCTGCATACCCAACGGTACCAGGAATTAGTCAATGATATACAGCAGGAAAATAATCGCAGGGAGAGCAGATCCCTGAGGAGCTCTGGCATTAATATAGATTAGGTTAGAAGAGCAGCCATCTATGACCACCATGAACGACCGTTTACTGAGAAAGTTAGATATACAGTGGTAAAAGATGTCGTAAGCAGGAAATTTACTCAGCAGACTTACGTGCCAAACCCTGTCAGAAGCATTCGAAATATCGAGTGAAACTGCTAGAGCTTCACCGTTCTTATCGATGACCTCGCCCCAGTAGTGCGTGACATACACAAGAAGATCCTCTGTGGACCGTCCCCAGCGGAAGCCATATTGATGATCACTGAGGAGGTCACAGGCACGTCATTAGTTTACTATTCAGTGCCCTTTCTATAGAGATATGAGCACCGATCGAGTTTTTAGAGAGAGGCGGTACAGGCGCGACAGAACAGGAGACAACTTAGGCGCACAATGCTTTAGTATCCTTGCAGGAATACCATCAGGTCCACTGGCCTTATTCACGTCTAGGTTTTTCTTCAATTTCCATTCTTCGACAGGGACCAAAATTGCTTAGGGGCCATTTATTAATTACGTAAGGCTCCGTAGGGGAAGGGCTCCGTAGCACATGATGGTGAAGGCCTCTGCAAATTTATTATTTAAATATAAGTTTTCCTTACAGTAATTTTGGTACAGATTAATCTGATTCTATTAAGCGTATGTTCGTAAAAAAAGTCTACTGTTAACGCGAAAACTCTACGATGTTTAATTTTATATTCAAATGGTGCATATCTCTTTAATTTCAATATCCTTACCCAATTTATATATATTCCCATATATCCTTGTCCTATTGATTTCCCATCTTCCCCTCAAGATGAATGGAACGCAACATATCTTACAAAGATAATCGACGCCAGCGCCACGCTATAATAATTCTAAGTTCCGTGTTATGTTTTTTCTTCTCTTTATTAGGTTTACCAACAATTGCTAACACTAACACGTCAAATTAGTTCAATTACTTAAAAGTATTAAATAAAACTAGATTTACGGATTTTATCGCGTTTGATTAACTATTTTAACCTATTTTTAATTTCCGACGTTTCGGGTGCTTTACAGCACCTGTGGTCACGGGGGGAACTGAGATGTTTGACGATCCAATGTCATAGTTAGCCCGGAAACCTTCAGTTTTTGAATGTTAATTTTTGGTCGGATCATCGCAGAACGAGCTTACAGTATCGTTGCGTGCCATAATTTATGCGCAGTATATAGCGGGTGATTATTAACGCCATCTAGTATCAAGGAACAGAAATAGGAGCATCAAGATCTTTCTAGAACTCTCCCACGATCGGCATCTAGTATCGAATAGAAGAACTAAGCTTTCTAGAAAACTCCATACTTGAGTTTTCTGCACCTAGTCTTTCCGGACCAGTATTTGCTGGAACATTCTAAATGTTTCGATGGAAAAGGTCTATATAAAGCCCTTGGGGCCGGAACCGGGGCAGTATTGAATTGGCGATACAAGCGAAGCTTCGGAGCGAAATAAAGTGAACTAAAGTGATCAGTGTGATTAATTATTATATAGTGTGTTTTAAGTTTTAATTGGTGTTCGGCAATTAAAGTGTCAATTTTGGTAATTCCATCGGCAGTTTCTATTGTCACGAACCCTAAGCTCGTAACAGTATCTTGAAGTCTTGCAGTAGTATGCTTGGATTTGGTTTTTATTTCGATATTTTTTTCTCTTTTTTTTCTCTGCAAGAGCAATATAGCCCGACCAAACCACAATGATTCCCCATCACAATCACACAGTAGTATAACGTGAGGGACGCAATAACACAAAAATACCAAATTATGAAAACCAACAGCGACACCACAAATATTTTTCTGGATTAAAAGAACCACTACAATGACGGAATCACAATTCTTTCATTCTACGAGTCCTTGCACTCGTTGTACACGTTGTACCCTTAGCACGAGAGCGTATGTATATTATGTAATATCAGCATGAATTTGCACCCGAACACTACCAGGTGTACAAGATGGAAATGTCGGGGAGGGCCCGTGCCATACAGCCCACTCTCCGGATCTCACTCCGCACGCCTTTGCTACTGATTATAGTCTGTCTCTTAGAGACGGTGGCCGCTGTGATGCGCCTCCTTACGCCTCTTCTCTTATCTTGTCAGACACCGCGTGCGGCGTACACCCACAGGAAACTTTGGCATTTTAAAACGAAGCACCGTAGTGAAAGGTTCTGTGCTACCTAACTTGTGTTTATTATTTATATTCGTACTTTATTACAATAACCGTAAAATAAAATAGTATCTGTCGCAGCGACTCTGTGGGTAGTCTGAATTAAACAATTATACAACACGTGCACCGCACACCTGCGCATTGCACCTGCGGTGGCGCTCGTGTTAAGGCAGTCTTGGCACTGCCGTGGCACGGTGCAGTTGTATCCCGCTACTAGCTCGTCCTTGACTATTCGGATAGTTAATTCGTGGAAACGAATTAATTATTATTCTCAGCTATTAAATTAGTCTCGGTACAATTTAATAGTTGATTACCTGTGATCCGTGTATTTTGTGATTGTAAATTAATTCTATTTAACTACCTTCCTACATATCTATTCTATTCTCAGGATAGAAAAACATTTACTTAACAAATACAGTAAAAACAATGAAATGAAAGCAAAATAATAAGTGCGCCTCCAGGTGTACCGACATTATCTTAGTGAAAAGACTATACGTTAACAGAGACGAACTAATAGCCCACATTGTGTCTGCATTCACGAAAGTGAAAAATGAACAAGTATTTTTGGTTTTTTCCAAAGACAATTCGCATAAACGTGCTAAATTATGCATTGCAAACGAATGTGGACATTTGGAACAGTTTTTTAGATTAGTGTAAATTCTGAAATAGTCTTCGTAAATATAAGTGACGGTATTCAATTCACTGTTGTAAATACGTATGATTACATTCTTTGAATACGTTAAAATCACATAATTTCCTTAAACACAAAGATAAACTCCGTTCAACACTGCACAAATCTTATGCCTACTCTAAACTTGACCCGGAATCGCGTACGATGTTGCATAGATGCGCTAACGTAAATAGCGCGTAATTTTCTTTATTTGCTGCAGCACTCGCGTTAACTTTGTTAAAAACTAAGTTAATTGACTACAGAGCGTTGAAAAATAAATATAAAGGTGGAAGAATCTATAAAAACTATATATCTAAAAACTTAAAAATAAAAAATTCCAAACTTATATCACAGTATAAATAAATATACCGTGCTAATATTTTTATTTGTACGAATGAAACGTAGCAATGGAAGTAAAACTATAGTTACTTAAGAGAATCAGGCGTTACTTTTCGGAAATCTATACTAGAAGCCTTAAAATTACTTTTCTTAAATCAGCGTGATAAAATAGAATCCCACTTGAAACACCAGGAAAGACACACCACCGCAGAGTCTAATTCACCTGAGGATTCCTCGTGTAGAGGCAAAACACGTGTCGTACTGCTGGTATAGTGGGATTTGATGTGGTGGTGTTGGCATTAGTGGTGACGGGGATATTGTACGTAAGTGAGGAAAGGCGGGAAGTGTTCTTCATACTAGCTAGGACACATCATTTTATTTTATTAAGCGGATATATATTTAAAAAAAATATTTATAAGAACTTTAAAACTATATGGGGTTGATAATTGTAATATTAAGTTTCACATTGAGCAAGCCTGTATGACAATCATAGGATAATACCACAAAGCGTCTAAAAGGAGGAGTTACAGCACTAACAGCTTTTTAAACCCCACTGCAAGTTTCTATGTCTGTCAACTTGGAAATTTTGCACAAACTAATCAAACTGGATAGGCATTTTATTGGCACTTAATCTTAGCCAAAAGAAGCATCATCATAGAGCGTGATATCAATTGGACCCGGTAGGTGGCGCTGTTGTCGAGATCCAGAAATCACCCGTGCGTGGCCGGGGCAGCGGTAAACGAGTACTCGGAAACACAAGCGTTCCCGATCCTAGAGGTGAACCAAGTCTATGGCTCCATGTATCTTTGTTTTTTTTTTGATTTGACAGTGAAATTTATGAACCAGTCTTAATGGAACTCATAAAATTAAGGAAGGTTTAAACTTTCAGGAAGACAAACTAAGTCGTCTACACAAAACGACGCATTGTGTCCGTTTTAGCCCACGTTATAGCATCTTTGTAGAAGGACACGCTGACTACAAACGCACTCATTACCTCCGGAGACCATTGTCAATTATAAGCAAAAACTCCCACGGTTTATAAAGGTTTGAACGCGTGCGTACGCACGCAGAGCGCATCTCCTATCTATGGACACTACCAGTATCGGTGCTTCGCAATACCGTCCCATACAAAGTGCAATGTAAGTTGTTTTATTTCTTGACACTGATTATATTTGAGTATAATATTTATTGTAGAATATAGTCGGTATATTTAAATAGTATTGATTACTTAATATAATCCAATATAATAAACTCCTATTAAATATGACGTTACTTTTTATTTTATTCATTTATAATTTACATTTTTAATATAAAATACATAAACTAGTTTTGAAATACATTGTGGTCTAACAATAGTGCCTACAAAATACCCTTACCATTTATTTATACAATTTAATTCAATAATAATTTCGTATATTTTGTATGAAACTCCACATCTTGATCAAATAAATATCCTATTGCAATAATTTTTTTATTTACCCGTAGTTTTTAACATTTTGTAAAGTATTTTTTGTATTTCGTTAAGTTTTCGTCACTGAATCTTTTAATAATTCATGCAATATCACTTACGTGACATATATTTAGCGAGCTTAATTCATTAAAGGTTATTCTGTAGTTAATAATTTTAAAATAAGAAACTAAATACTTCTATATTATACTAGTACAGGTATTTTTGCAAATAATCTTCATCTAAGATAGCATTCGCAGGTCAAACACTACATATCTTAGAAATTAAATGCAATTTATTGAGTGAAATAATTGATTCTGGTCTGGATGTTTGTCCTTGTGCAGTTTATGTATTGTAAACTAACCCCACGATACAGGATTGAAACTAGCTTTTGTAGCGTAAGGTGTAGTAACTCCATCCAGCACTGAAAATGTCTAACTTAGGTAGATAAAAATTATATTACGTAAGAAATTTTAAGTGGTGGATTTCCTTTAACGCGTGCTCAGCGGTAAAGGCAAACATCGCAGAAAAAACCTGCTTAACTGAGGAATAAAATATTGTGAGGATATGTAGAGTCCGCAAAAAAGTGAAATTACCTATCCACAGACAGAATTTTAAAGTATTTTAAAAATATAATGAGTTTATTTTATTTACGTAAATTCAACGTATTGAATAAAAAGAATTACTTGATCTGCTCCAAAAAATATTTTATGACGCCTTTTAACACAATAACTTTGTGAAAAGGCAAAAGCCAGAAATACATCGAAGGAAGACAACATACTATTGTTTTTTTTTTAATTAGCGATTTTTAAAAGTAGTGAACGAATTGCTGTAGGTATCAAAGTCGTTAGTCACAGCTTAGTAGAGACAAGATTTTCTAGCTGAATCGCTTGTAAGGTGTCGTTGTTTAGATAGAAGCACCTCAAAGCTTAATAACAAATTGCATAAAAGAATATCGGATAGTAGAATAATGAAGGTAAATTCCCTTTTTCCATAAAACAAAGATTACATAAAAGAAAAAGAAGACTGTATCGATGGTAAACTATATGTGCCAGTTCAAAAATAAACATGAGAAGTACACAAAAACTATAACATGGTGTTGGCAACAAAAATATAAAATTCTGAAATTTACCTTAAAAGTTACTCAATTATTTTTAATGTTTTAATAATATTTGAAAGACTTGTTTTTAAAGCCAAACTAAGTCTACTAGTCTTAATATTGTTGATTACTGTTTTATTGAAGGTTGAAGCCCAAATAATTTTTTGTTTTGGAACGACAATGATGAATGATGATAAATATAGACTAGATCTTAGATTATTCAATAAACACATATTTTACGTTTATTGACTAATCTAATACTTAAAATATGCAAAATTTGACATACAAAAAGTTCAAAAACTTTGTTAAACTAAGCTTGTATAAAAGGGGTATTATAGATATATATAATATTAAGGAATTTATGGATAATAATCATAATAATAATAGCGATCACCCTGGGAAGGGTAAACGCTACCAAGCTATTTCTAATTTATTTTGTGTTGGTAATTGTAACGTACATGATTGTTAGCTATTATTTGAAAAAAAAATAGTCCCGCTAGGTTACTTGCTGGTCCTTCCCAGGACAGAGGTGTTTATTGCGAATCAGTGGTAATTGAAAAAAGTGACTTTCAATAAGTATTGTTTACATTCTATATTGAATAAAAAAGTTTCTGTTTCTGTAAACAACTAGCATAGATACTTAAAAAACATAAAAATATGAAAAGGGTTGACGACTAGAGATCTAAACGGGCACCAAGATCCACAGCAATGCCAAGAACGTTATACATTCCTATGGATCCTACAATTTAGGCAACTACAACCCCGAACGTCGTTTGTACCGAACCATGCTCCCTTTTCACATAATTTACATAGTTTGAGTCGGATATCATTTTTGTAAATTATTAGTAATAAAAAAATCACTCTTTTTATTTTGATTTAAACTTAAAAAAAAACAACCGACAAACTAGCCGCACTAATCAACACCTATCGTTACAAAATATGGATAATTTGTAGTTTTCAGAATTTTCCACTTATACTTTGATGCAAAACTGGCAAGTTTCTAACCTTTAGAATGGTAATGCGTAACTAGCGTAATCTCTTACCTGAAGTAAGCAACTTTTTCTATATCTATAGCCGTATATATATATATAATCAGTCAGTCAGAGCCAGTAAGTGAAAAAATGGTACCTAGTTATTTAACACCATTACAACTCAAGAAATATGTATAATAAGTTTATTCATGAAATGAGAATTCGAAGTATTCCAGAGACCTTTTGTACTTTCGTTTCGTATAAACACCTGATGTATGTGTAGGTCTAATAGCTTTCGAGTTATAAGGGTTTTAAAGTGTTTCAAAATAATTAGCGTCTTATTCGTCATTCGTCATTAATTGACGTCTAGATAAAAGAAAAGAAGTAATCATAGTCAACAGCTTAGCACGTTTATTTGTCAGGATTGAAGTGGGATGATTATTTAATTTAGAATAAATTAAAATGATGGATGTAAATATTTTATAAATTACTTATTCTTGAAACTTGTTAATAACTCACCTAGCCAACCATTGTTAGTAAATCACATAACCAACAAGTTTTGTTCTTGAACTATGGTAATGAAATTTTGTCTACGTACTTCATACCTAATAGGTAGTTAACGTGAGAATGGTCTGACTAACGTCGATTATTGTCTTAGGGGTCATATTTAAGGCCATGCTCACACGCACGTGAAGTTACCTTCACATAATATATAATTGTAAACTTACTTGCAAGCGACTGCCATCCCTGCTATTACTGGTATTTACACAGAATCCTACGATTTCTGTTTAGCAGTGTTGTATGTACTAGGTTTCAGTTCCAGTATCGACTTCTAGGTTTTATCTCATGTGTTGTTCATTGGCAAAGAAAAAAGTCTTTTATTCTAAAAGACAAAAAATCAATATGTTCTTCAAAAAAACCTAATTGTTTTGAAGTATTTTTAATATAATTCTATTTATCACTTCTTATTTAGTAAAGTAGCGTAGCTCTGAAAGTTTTCTACGTGGTAGAGCCATGCTGCAGCTATATTAATTGTATAGTTTTAGCACGAATGAGTCGGCTGGACCGGGGAAGGACCACGCTCTCACAGAATACCAGCGTCAAATAGCAGCTTAATTCTGCTGTGTTTCGTATGGTGAGTGTAGAGAACCGGAGACCCTTTTTACTAGAAAAGAGGCATTCCATCTTAGTTCCTCAAGGCTGACAACGCATCTGCATTTTAATTCTCAAACGAGGATAGATGTAGATGTCTATGGGCCACAGCAACCACTTACCATCAGGTGGGCTGTGTGCTCGTTTGTCATCCTTTTACTATAAAAAAAAAGTAAAAACGAGAACCTGCACTGTACTTCCTACAAACTACACATGAAATATCTGCAACAACTGAAATTAAAACTATAAGTTGTGTTAGTAAATTAATTTAGAGTAAATGTTTGTTTTTGTTGCAGATGAAGTACATTTTTTTCGCTTTACTGCCATTGGTTTGCTGTGCCACTGCGGCGCCACAGGAAAAGTTATTACCAACACAAACAATGAAAGGTGTTGTTACATCACATCGAATCGACCAAGAAAAGGATGATTTGAAAACCGTTGCATCTTCATGTAAGCTTGTATTTTGTATAGTAGTCAAGATTCTCGAGTAGCAGCCTCGTACCGGTAAGCGAAGTGTAGGGCGACCCCCACTAGATGGAGTGACGACCTGGTAAGACATGCAGGAAGTAGATGGATGCAGGTGACTCAGGACGTGCTTTGTGGCATTCCTTGAGGGAGGCCTATGTTCAGCAGTGAACTTGTAAAGGGCTGTAATGTTGATAATGATGATGAATATATTTTTTGGCTTGCAATGATTAGGTAACATAAACGGCCCTTACAATTGATATACATATCTTGAACTTTTGATATAAAGTCGATGGACGGATGGTTTTGACGATTTAAGAATTTTATTTACTTCAACACCATTATACTACAAAATTATGAATGTCACCCAAAAATTTGTCCAGCCATTTTCGAGTTTTTGCAAGACTAACGGACATTGCTCTCTATCGGTTCATGTAGTTTCATTACACCAGTTCAAATCAAAGGTTCAGCCATTACGAAAATTAGCCCGGACAGACAGACGGACAGACAGTCAAAAAGACAAACAGACAGGCAAAAATTTTAAGGTTATTTATGTCACATTAGCTCAGGCAGTTGTTTCGACATTACAGACACTTAAATTTTATTTATATTAATACATATTAATAAAATTTAAGTTCGTAAGTTATAAAACGGTTTTAATATGTTTACAACAAATTAAATTATTTCAAACAAAGTACATTCATAAGAACCTATGATAGAGTGTGTAACCACATTTGGTTGAGTAAGCAACTGTTTTGCTTACTTATAATTATTGTTTACAACAAATTTAATTATTTAAATATGTGAATAGTAAAAAACCGGTTTTACTGTCATTTCAAGTGTTAATAAATACAAGTGACAGCGAAGATAAGCTTTAATTTTATGGCTACTAAATCATTCATTACCAAACATTGTCCTAGCAAAGCAAAGAATTATAATAATTATTATTAAAAGGCATACGACTCGGTGCCCCATACGTGGCTAAAGAGGATCCTCGAGCTGTACAAGATGGACTGTACATTTAGAGACTTCCTCGAGCAGTGTATGGGGCAGTGGAGTACGATCCTTTGTCATCTTGCGCGATCTGGAAGCCGCATAAGGATAAGAAGGGGTATCTTCCAGGGCGACTGTCCGAGTCCAATCTGGTTCTGCCTCTCTTTGAACCCTCTCAGTACTTTACTGAAGGGCTCCGGGAGGGGATTTCAGCTTCGGAAAGGAGGTACAAAAGTGACCCACCTTTTTTTTATGGATGACCTCAAGTTATTCGCCTCCAGTTGCTCCCATCTTGTGGAATTGCTAAACATTACTTGTGATTTTAGCAATTCTATTAGAATGGAGCTGGGAACGGTAAGTGTGTGGTCCTCCGAATTGAAAGGGGTAGGGTAATTAACTCTGAGAGCGAAACTTATCTTTTCTAATCAATATGCGTATGTCATAAAATATAGGTATTGATGAGGTGGACATGAAATAATCAGTTTGCGATCTGTTTTATGCACGCTTGACCAAAGTGCTTAAGGCCGAATACGAAGAGAACTGGCGAAATTTAATGTATTTCTCTTCACTACAACTTTGATCTGAAGTAATTTTAAGCGTTAAAACATTTTTGTAGGTTTGTTCGGTTCCTTCACAAAGTGCCCGCAGTTTTAAAATTTTAAAATAAATGAATATATCAACAAATTATGTAACAATAGAGACTCCGAGCATTACTTTAAGAATAGGAAAAAAGATCGTCTGTTGCAAATTACGAAAACAATAACAAAATCAAAAAGATATTAAAAGAAATAATAGAGTAGAGTATTTAAAAGAGTTTTATCATGCACGGTTTCAGATAGCCATCAGTACTCCGACTGGGGCGGCGAATCGCCCGGTGGATATGGATACAGTGTCACTGGATTTGGGGTGATTGACGACAAATACGATTCAAATGATGGTGGTTTTGGCAGATATGATAACTCCTACAATAATATTGGATATCCCGAATATCCTGATAATGCAGGATATCTCAGTAAGCCAAGCTACGGAGGCGATCAAGGATACGGAAGATACAGCCCCAGTGGTTTAGAAGGAAATGGTGGCTATGGCGGGTACGGAGGAAATGGAGGCTTAAGTTCCTATTATGGTTACAATAACCCCTACTATCATGGATCAAATCATTTGGGTTACGGGTATTATAACAAGCGTCCCGGTTATGGTAATATTTACAATGGCGGAATAACTCCAAGTTTGGTAACAGGATACAGAGGCTATACAAGATAAAGAAAACAGTACAGAAAATAATATATGTACAGTAAGTTAGGTACCAAAGTAATTTCCAAAGCAATCATAAACTTACATACTTAGTAACAGTTATAATATCTAGTATAGTTTAATGTTAATAATGCTTATTGATTCTCGTATGTTGATAAAATGTCAAAATCCGGTTTTATTATGTCGGATGCCTTTCCTTTTCGTTGCTGCAACCCATGTATTTATGTAAATTGATTTTTTTTTTGTTAATTTCTTTGTACGTTGTGTTGTGTGTGACTAAATTATTAATTCATTCATAATAAATAAATCTATACATATACGTATTAAAATCGTGAAGAGTTTTATTTTTCGTCTGTGTTTGTACAAGCTAATCTCCATAATGGCGGCTCCAATTTGGATCACAGAACACTATTACTCCCTACCGAGGGATGTGGTTTACAGTGATATGTTGTGGTTTACATAGAGGTTAGCTTGTGGCGTTATGGCTTTGGCTAATATTTAGTTTAGTTTGTTACATTTAAGTCGGTTGACTCATTTCTCAAAAGTTAAGTGTCAATTTCACAGGGTGTGGCGCACGCGCTCGACGTAACGCGTAGTAAAGCCGGAACCTATCGGAACTAAAAAACAATTACATAATATAATATACGCAAAAATAATGTACTGTAAAAATTGTTACAACAAACATACTATAAATCCTTATAAAAAAAGAAGAAGAAAAAGATAGTCAGTCATCAGTCTGTCAATAAGTTTTTCGAGTTATTTTTATTTGCAACTAGCTGTGATTGCAACTTAATTCGCATAATTTCGTAATCTACATCACTGTTCTATATCAAATAGTAACAGTATAATATGTTTATACTTTTAAGGTGTAATTTCATCATAGAAATCGATAAGTGTAGGAATGACTCCATTAGCGTTTCCAGACAAGTGCTCACTATAAATTTCACAGAACACAAGCAACCTGGATTCGAACGCAAAAATAAAATATTTAGAAAACAAATGAAGTCTGCCAATACGGCGCACACTGGATCGAAGAATGCGTTTCGATGACATAGACGTTTAAAATTTTAAGTGTCGTTTTTTAAGCTTAGGATAAGGATATCCTTAACATTCTTATCTTAACTTTCAATATTTTTATTAAAAATGCCAGTATTTTTCGCAATATTAAGTATGTCAAAAAATCATAAATTTATATATATATATATATATACAATATGACAACATAATTTTAATTATAATTTACATTTAAAATTATGTAATAGGTATTAATATTTACAACCATAATAAATAATGTATGATTTAAAGAAATTCATTTTATAAAATGAATAAATCTAATAAATTAACTTTTTTATTAAGTAATATTATATATATATATATATATATATATATATATATATATATATATATATATATATACAATATGTAACAAAAACCCTGTGGTTCCCGTTAAGTGCGTTATCAGAATCAGTATTTAAAAGTATAGAAATAACTTTACTTCAGAAAACTCGACATAAAAATAATCAAATTAAATATCGAATCAAATTAAAAAAAAAACAATAATTTTGTCACCTATAATTCCCGCCCACACATTGATTTTCCATCGGTGTTGAAAGTGGCTTGGTTTATACGAATGCGGATTTGTCGTTGACCATACGTGTTCATTATGAGCATTAAATACACCTGTTCTTACAAAAGAGCATTCATCCGTAAAAAGTACGCGGTTCAAAACTCTCCTTCAACCTTATCAAGTAACCATCTACAGTAATCCATTCTCGGCTCGTGGTCGTTAGGAAGAAGACACTGAACTCGACGATAATGATATGGGTGCTGGCCATCATCTTTGAGGGCTCTCCAAACGCGCATATGGTTCACACCTAGTTCACGTGCCACCGAGCGCGTGCTCCGCGTCGCATCTTCCTCAAACATGTCGAGAATGTGCTCCTCGATGTCGTCGTCGTACATCCTCGGTCTTCCTGAATCTGTACGTTGTTGATCACGGCCATGCACACTGCCAGTATTGTACATACGAATGTGAAGTCGTTGGAACGTCATTGCCGACGGCAATTGTATATTTCGTGGAGTAGCAAAGCACTCCCCGTAGTCTTCGTGCTGCTGTATAATTGCAGTTACATTTCCCGAGACACATCAACATATTAAAATATTCTTCGTTTGAGTAAGACATCGCACACAAGTCACTCACGGCGGAATATTAATTTCGCAATATAAAACACAACCGTCAATAGTGCTAACGCGCTACTGGTGCTTGATGCTTGTTTGTTTGCATAGACGTGGCAAAGCTAACATAATTTTGATATTTTCTAAATCGATAAAAATTTCGTGATTTTTTATGTTATTTTTTTAATAATAGTTATTATTTATTTATTTATTTCAGACAGCGTCCGTAAGTGTTATTAAGACATTAAATTATAGCTAGGATTAATAAAAATACATTAAAACACTTTTATAACAAGAAACATTCAAAAAATTGTATTATAAATCCACACAATAACAAATACTTAAACTATTATGCTGCTATATTTTTCAAAATCTAATAATTAGCATTTTTTATCGACCGACGATTAACAAAACTTATTTATATTTCTATTCTTGACCACTGACTTGTGACAAAATTTTATGTTTATAAAACTTCTCATGTTTTTAAATATTACTACTAAATATTAGCACAGAATAAATAATAGATACGACGACCACGAAGATGTTGTTCAATATGTACACCTCTCACACATTTGCGGCACCGGCTTATATGTTTTATCGACCGACGATAAACAACCCTTATTTTTATTCTTGATCACTGAATTGTGACAAAATGTTATGTTCATAAAACTTCCCATGTTTTAAATATTACTACTAAATATTAGCACAGAATAAATAATAGATATTGGATCAAAATTAGTTAATCGGCATATAGTGGACGCTTCTTTTTATCACTGGAAGAGTGGAGTTTTTTGGGTTTTTCCTAGTACCTAAGTCCTTCGTCAGTTTTCGCTTTTGAGTTCAAAGAGCGCGCAAAACGCCGCGCATATTACCTATTAATTTTGTTTTGTTTATTATATTCTAGCAATAAACGACAATATGAATTTATTTAAAAAAATAATTACTACCTACTACATAAATTCTTTATCGAATAATATTTCATGTGAAAAATACAAACTAAATTTCTCCTACAAATAGTTGCAAATTTGGAATTAATCACGATAGGTATTTTATGCATGAAATAACCTTTTTAAATATTTTCGTAGATCTATTTAGCAAAAAAGTGGAAATTTGTAACATAAGTATTCAAATGATACTTATAATATACATAATGATACTAGATGTATAGTTGTAGCACAAATGGGTCGGCTCGACCGGGGGAAGGACCACGCTCTCACAGAATACCAGCGTGAAATGGTTGCTTAATGCTGCTGTATTTCGTATGGTGAGTGTAGAGAATCGGAGAACCTTTTTACTGGAAATGAGGCATTCCATCTTAGTCCTCACGGGTGATAACGCATCTGCATTTTGATTCGTAATCGAGGATAGATGTAGATGTCTTTGGGCCACAGCAACCACTTACCATCAGGTGGACTGTGTGCTCGTTTGTCTCTGTCTCCTTATACTATAAAAAATACTATGTGTATTGGGGTTGAAATAATAACCATTTCATTATAATTTCTATTATTTTGAAATTAAAATTTTCTGAGACTAACTGAGTCTAGATAGGTATAAAGATTTATACAAAAACCTTGGGGAAGCACGCGCCGCTTAGGGGCTTGCTTTGAATCGGCCATGTCAGTGACCTCGTTACGTTGATGTCTTCTTCATGTGTCTTTTAGGCACATGGAGGTTTCGGGCCTCGGGGTAAGCCCCCATTACCCGTGCTGTCCTCGCGGTCCACTACTATGGACCGGTCCTGGGAGGCTTCTAATGGCATTGTAGGTGTCAAAAGTGACCTCGTATCGGCCGTAGACTATTATTTATTCTGCGACATAGATAATATTATGTTGGCACGTGTCGGTAAGTTCAGAAGCAAATAACATTTTTAGAAATTTAATATTTCTTATGTTATCTTATTAGAAACCTAAAAACCCCATTTATAGCAACCAAAAAAAATTTTCATTATCATAATTACCATGCCTATGTGTACACCTATACGTCCCTGAAACGACCAACAGGGTTTTTGTTACATACTGATATATATATATATATATATATATATATATATATATATATATACAGGGTGGCGCAATAGAACGTGCATATTGCGTCATCTTTTTTCGCGGGGTAAACAGTGCCGTCTTCGAGAGGGCCGTCATTTAGATGATGTTATTTTTAAAAAATAAACTACATTTAATTACCTAATCATCCTATATTTTATTTCAACTATACCTTTTGTATTTATTTTTTAGCCTATACTTAATAAATGCACGTTCTATTGCGCCACCCTGTTTATAATATATATATATATATATATATATATATATATATATATACATAGTTTATTTATATATTAATTTCTAAGTACTCTAACCACCTGTAAGGTTACAATTTGCAATTGTGCGATTCCAGGGTTACACTGATTTTTCGTAATTGCTCCATACATTTATTTCATTTTTTTTCCTCAGGCTCCTCCTCCTCAGGCCTCAGTTTTTATGCCAAATTACCTTGTGTGACATTTTTGACCATAGTAATAATAAACAGAAGCCATTTCACGTATAAAAACGACACTTAAAATTTTAAAGGTCCTGTCTTGAAAACGCGATTTTCGATCCAGTGTGCTGCGGGCTTTATGCTCCTAAACTCCCATCCTGTTTCTCGATTTGCAAACTTCACTTTAAGGAGAGAAAGATAATTCGTTTGTCGTGTCGTGCAAAGGAGAAAGCCGATTTATTAGGGTCTCTCTTTGTTTCCAACTCGACTATCGATGACGTGCGGAACACACAGCCGACCATCCCGCGGTGTGAGTGCTCCATGCAGGATGTGCGGTTTACACAGCGCTCGGTTCGCAAAGCACTCCTCTCTCAAGACGACAGCAAGTCGAGTGGGCCTGATGGAGTCCCTCCCACTGTGCTGAAGACGTGTGCTCCGGAGTTGGCACCGGTTTTAACGCGTCTTTTCCGGTAATCTTACTCTCAAGGCGTTGCCCCGAATTCATGGAAGACAGCTTTGGTTCACTCGATCCATAAAAAAGGCGACCGCTCAGACCCGTCCAACTACAGGCCTATCAACATCACCTCCTTCTCCATAATAATGGAGTCCATTATAAACTGCCAGCTCATGGGATACCTTAAAAATCACTAGCGGATTAGTGACCACCAATACGGTTTTCGTCGAGTTAGATCAGCTGGTGATCTTCTGATCTACCTTACTCATAGATGAGCGGAGGCAATAGAGTCCAAGGGGGTAGGCATTGGCCGTTAGTTTAGACATAGCGAAAGCCTTCGATCGGGTCTGGCACAAAGCGCTTCTTTCGAAGCTCCCTTTCTATGAGCTTCACGAGAAAAATTGCGATTGGATTAGTAGTTTCTACTTTCTAATCGGCGCATCAAGGTCGTAGTAGGCGATGCATGACCGATTACAAGCCTATCAACGCTGGTATTCCACAAGGCTGTGTGCT